CAGCAATTCTAATGACAACTTATTACATGGATTATAAAAGTTAACAACTTTAAAATTTCCTTCTCTGGTCCATACTTCAATTATTAAATATTCCAACTCTTTTCCTTTCCCCAAAACTCTATATTGCATTCCTTGTTTTATAAATATTATACATCCTCCTCCACTACCCTCCCCTCTATCTCTACGAATGCTATCATATCCTTTAATAACAAACTCCAATTCTAATTTAAGCCATGTCTCTTGAACACATATAATTTCTGGTTTATTTTTTAACTCTTTAATAAATCCCTTAAATTCCTGACCATTCGCTATTAAACTTCTTGCATTCCATTGTACAATAATCAGCTTGTCTTATCACCTGGGCCTCCCACTTTCCCATCCGCTTCAAGTCTTGTTTTGATCTGCTCCCAAGATACTTCTTTTATACCCAGAAACTTCTCCGCCCCCTTAACTATTATTTTAATTTTCTCTGTTTTGTGTTTAACCTGATCGGTACAATTGATCACATAGGCCACAAACAAAATAATCTTCTCAACTGTCAATTCTGTTTTTGTTTTCTCTGTTTGACCTGCATCTATTCTCGACCCCTGGGCAGCAATGTCAATATCAACCCTTCCCCTTTGTCCTTGTACTTTCTTCACTGCCTCTGAATAACTTATGTTGTTTACTGTTTTGATCTGCTGTATTTCCACAGCTCTTTTCCTGACTTCACATCCACCATATGTTACTCTGTGTTGGCCACCACAATTACAACATTTATCCTGCACATTTTCCTTACATTCTTCCACTCTATGCTCACCTCCGCATTTGGGACACCTCTGCTTCCCTTTGCAAACTGCTGCTATATGTCCATACCTCTGACATTTGTAACATCGTAGCGGTGGAGGAATATACGGCCTAACTAGAAAGCTCATGCATCCTACTCTCACCCTTTCTGGAAGTAAGGACTCCTGAAATTCCAGAAGAACAGATAAGCTATCTACCCTTTCACCATTTATTGTTCTCAACAGTCTCTTTATTCTACTCACCTCGCCTCCACTAATACTCCGCTTGAGTTTCTCCAAGTCTTCATCTACAGGAATCCCTGTTATCACTCCCCTTGTTACTCTAGTCTCACCCAACACCTTTCTCTCAATAATAATTTTCCTGCAAACACTTTCAATTTCCAAGGCTCTATTTTTCTGTTCCTCCGTTTTACTTATGACCAACAAGCTTCCATCTCTCAAAATCTTTGCCATTTCCACATCTCCTATTTTCTTTTTTATTTCCCTAGACACCGCTATCGGACTTAAATCAACATTCTCGTCTTCCTTTCTAAATTTGAGGATTATTTTAAAATCCTCTCTCACAACCCTTTTCCGCAAACGGGGGCTTAACACGAGAATTTTCTCGAAAATCTGTTTGTTTGTCTGCATGACAGGTCCAACCCCGGCTCCTTGCTGTCGCGAACCCAAGTCCTTCTTCTTCTTCTTCTTCTTCTTCTCTGTGTTATATGGCGGTTGGCCAACCAACTTTTGGTGCATTACCGCCACCAACTGGACTGGAGTGTGGAGCACTAAAATAAATTCAATTCAATTCAATTAAATAAAAAAATACATAACACTAAATTCTGCAGTCTAATCCTATTTCTTTAATATATTTTTTAATAGCACTATAAATTTAATATTATTCTGCATGCTCTTTCAAAAGGCTTTTCATATTAAATGATCATGTAATGTAAATCAACACCCATGTTTCTTACTTACTTAATACGTTTTAACCTTTCTTTTTCACATTCTGTCTGATCACAATCATTCACTGACCCGTTTCATGTTTTCCAATTTTAAACATTGAATGATTTAGTCTACTAAGTCAAGTATGCCCTATTCGAATCGGACAAACGCCTCATTCCACATTTACAATTGAAAAGTCAACAATTGATGGCGTATTTTCAACTAATAATGTGCAGACTATCTTGATTTCATGTGTATATGTCTGTGTCTGTCAAAAAAGCTCCATAAACAGAACGAAGGAATGTAATAAAAAATATGTCATAATAGACATATAACTACCATAAATTTGTAATATTTAGGTCTGTTATTAATGTATTCAAAAGATTACTCTGTCTGTGCCATATGATCACAGGATGTGAAATACACAGCAATAGTTAGTCGCATTATGTTGCATTATATTATTTCATTAATGAAAGAAAAAGTAAAAGTAAAAAAATATATATATTACTGGTTACTGTTAGTTCAACAATTTTGCCAGTGTACTTTCCACCGGTTACAGTTGCGACCAAGAATTGAACAAATACTTATATCACACCATTTTAAAAACATTTTAATGAAAACTATTTCATTCCGGCTATATTTTACACGAGTAAAACACATTTGCTTACTGGAGATAATTTGGGTTTAAATGAGTTAACTGAAAGCTAAACTAAAAGCTAAAGAGGAAGGTGAAATATAGCTATTTAGATAAAAATGTTACTTAAAGTGTCTATGTCAGGTTAAATTTTTTTTTTTAGATATATTAAATAAGGGTTAGATGTCTGAGTGAAAATGTAATTATCATTAAAATGATTACTGTAATTACCCTACAGTAAGCTTTATAGCCATTTCTGTCAAGATCATATTTTTAAAACACAGCTGAGCTGTGACGTCAGAAGAGGGAGTCGTGCCACAAACGTTCTATTCAAGTATGGAGAGTTTTGAGTCTGAGCAGATCCAAAATCCCCCTCAAAATCCCCCCACAGCCATACACTTTTGAGCCTCCCAGGCGTGAGACAGATGAGGAGGCAAACAGAAATTTAAATAATTCCTATCGAAGAAACATAAATATCTGGTGTGAAGATAACCAGTGGAGAGTTGGGCAGGTGTATATACCGGTAGGCATAACTTAGAGGTGGAACGGTACATGTATTCGTATTGAACCGAAACGGTACGGGCGTCACGGTTCAGTGCATGAGTACACGAGTATAAAAATAAATAAAACTCGCGTGCAAATTAATTAATGCGGAACTACTGTTAGATATGCGGGTTATTTAGGGACACATAATCTGTAGCTCCGCCTTAGCTCTGAAGCTCCGTGGCTATAATGAACAGGCTTCGATGTCAAGATTGCAATGCTGGATGTGTTGGTGTGTGTGTGTGTGTGTGAAGCAGCACTGAAGTAGCGAGAGAGAGAGAGAGAGAGAGAGAGAGAGAGAGAGAGAGAGAGAGAGAGAGAGAGAGAGAGAGAGAGAGAGAGAGAGAGAGAGAGAGAGAGAGAGAGAGAGAGAGAGAGAGAGAGAGAGAGAGAGAGAGAGAGAGAGAGAGAGAGAGAGAGAGAGAGAGAGAGAGAGAGAGAGAGAGAGAGAGAGAGAGAGAGAGAGAGAGAGAGAGAGAGAGAGAGGGGCGCGATCGAACAGTGGAAACATAAAAACTGGAAGAAATGTGCGCTGCAAATGACCGAAATCTTGGATACCGAAGCAGCACTGAAGTCCTGGCGTTTGGTCCGAACAAAGTTGACCCAGGCACGGAACACAGACCTGCTTTTTGGGAAAAAGTGGACTCTGTGACCGGTTTTAACTGTGTTTTAGCACCCAGCACAAACGCAGTAATTCACCATTGTGAAAATACGCCTGCGTATACTAACTACCTAACTTAAATAGCTAACTAAATAAATAAATGTCCTAATCACTAATTTTCTCGCTCTATCACTCGTACAATTATCAACACAGCTCACAGACTCACTTTCTCAGCGCTCTGGGGAGACGTCTCCCTCTTATGACGTCAAGCGATCCGTTTGGGCGGAGGAGCAGTTTTAAGTGAGTACTGAAAATAACGAACTTTTTCATCTTATATTCTGCCTTTAGAATATAATATTTAATATGTGGTAGTGACATGCCCCCTGAAATTCATACATTTTATATCATATTATAATGCAACTTATTAGGCCTATATATTTATAGAATAGCAAAGTAGGCTTAATCAATATACAGGACTTAACCACATATATATAAAGGCTATCATGATCATTTTGCCACAAATGAACCATGTATTTGTTTAGATTATAATACGTTTTATTTTTAACTTAAACAAATACATATAACATTCGAAACTCATCGGCTTAGACTGCATTTGAAGAAAAATAAACACAACAGTTTTCTGTAGCCTTGTGCGAACTTATTCAATAGAATTAGACTTCTAGAATGTTCTTTCCGGTAGTTTTTCTTATCATAGCCTACAAATGTCTTCGGAAACACATTTTACTCGATTTACTGAAGCCTGTAAAATGCATTTGCAGCTGCACAGCTTGCACATTGAGCGTCTGGCTCGCTCAGGCTGCGCTGCGGCAACTGCACAACCAATGGCGTGGGCGCCTCTGACGTGCGACCAATGAGACAACTCTACGTCATTACACGTCAGAGCCCGTCAAGGTGGCGCCAAGTCCCCGAATTTGCATGCAGCGGGCCTTCGTTCATTCATCATAGTCTGTCTGACATATATATTAGAAGCTATGCGTCTGTCATGGATTTGCACTGAATTGATTCTCAAAAATACGGAACAAAGTGCGTTCCGTATCAGTTCAATACGGAACAAGCCTTTTATGTGTCAAATACGGAACGATTCTGTATTATACGGAACGGTTGGCAACCCTACCAGCAACTGTCCGGTCAAAAACATTCTATAAAATATCTTATTTTGTGTTCAACAGAAGAAAGAAATTCATACAGGTTTAGAACAACTTGAGGGTTGAGTAAATAATGACAACATTTAAATTTTTGGGTGAACTATCCCTTTAAGGGATTCACTTTCATCACATGGGGAAAAAATATGCAAAGAAAGTGAGTGATGACTTTGGCTGTGGAAAAAAAGACGTGAAGAGAAAGTGAATGGTATTGGTTGTCCCTAATATTGTCCTGAGTAAATATTGACAGTTTTAATTTTGGGTGAACTGTTCCTTTAACTGTAAAATCACTTCACACACTCCTACTCAGCAGGTGGCAGTAGAACGCAAGCTTTGCTATCACACCTTTCATATTAAATATACAGCTCTGCATCATCGGTACACACTGAAACAGCTCGTGTGCTGGTGTGTGGCGGTATAACACGGTGAACGCAACCCACTTTGACTAATCTATTCGTCCATCTTTGGATGTATTTTTAAATGTGGTGTCTCTGACGTCGACTATAACCAGAGACTGAAATCTCCCATCGGAGCACAGACGCTGTTACAGCACACGGGACCGCTGGTGAGTGACACTGGCCCCGATGGCCAAGAACACGCTGTCTTCGCGCTTCAGAAAGGTGGACATTGATGAATTCGACGAGAATAAATTCGTGGACGATCACGATGAGGCTGCAGACCAGCAAGGACCTGATGCGGCGGAAGTCGACAACCTTATCAGGCAATATCCTTTAATATGAACGCAACGTTTTGGGGGATTGAGACATGAACGTGAGCCCGTGTGACATGAGCGCGCGCCTCGCTCGGTACAGTACTAGGGCATGATGATGACGTGACGATTGTGCTGCCTTGTTTAGAAGATTTTTTACATAGCGTTGTTTTGTATTCATTTAAGCTGCAACGACACAATTCTTAGAGTTTATAAGTTATAAGTATGAAATGCATCAGGGTTTCCATAAAAATATCAAGCGGCACAGCTGTTTTTAACATTGATAATTGTAAGAAATGTTTCTTAAACACCAAATCAGCATATTAGAAAGAATAATTATAGTTTACGTAATATTATAGAGGAAAGTTAACTTTATAGCTGGTATAATTAATGTAATCCAAAATGCTGGCTAGCGAAATTAATATATATATTTTACTCTTTGGATAGGCCAATGAAACAAATGTCGTGTCATTTTTAAAAAGTTTTAAAGTTAGTGAATGCATGTGTTATGCCTGGTAACAACTATAAATTCCCAATGGTCAGTTGCTCAATAAGGAAAGATGCAAACAATACATTAACTTTTTTGAATAGTCATCTGTGAGGGGGATCATTTAATGTAACAGTACATTAAAATCCACAAGTTACATTCTAAATGGAACTGTTTTTCCACTGGTCACAAATGTGACCACTGACATGTTTATGTGTCCTTTTTATGAGACTGAGCAATCATAATATTACACAATTTTTATTATGACATTTTAAATACTTTTTATGGAGCTTTAACAGACAGACATTATCTTTTAGAGAGGTAAACTGGAAGTAACAGCTCGGGTCATGTGAATGTTTACAACAGCCATGTAAAAATGAAATTTACACTTGAGAACTCTGTATAAAATATATCAGAAACTCTAAAAGGTTCAACCAGGCGCTCAGGTAAAGTTATAAAATCCGTGATAGGTGCTCTTGTGGTAGGGAAAAGATCCAAAGAAACGAAAAGCAGATCCCAGGCACTCAGTCAAGTTTTCAATGAGGAGAAGGATACAGTTAAAAAGCCTTTATTTAGTATGGCTTAAATCATTTTAAAAGTACACGAGCCAACATGTTTCAACCAACAAGTGGTCTTCTTCAGGGCAAAGTTACTTTCAAAGTTACAGTCAAGAAAACTTGATTGAGTGCCTGGGACCTGCTTTTTGTTTCTTTATATCAGAAACTCTTTTTAGACCCTTAAAACTCAAAATATCCTTTGATTTCAAATGTAACCAATAGGATAAAAATAGTTAATTTGCATTCAACACTTGATGGGTAGCATATGTTTTTAGAAGCAGTGAAATGTTTCTCCTCATTTGAAGTGGCTTGTGTTTCAAAATTTAATTCAACTGACCGAATATCAACATTTATTTTATATAATATAATGTATTCTTGTATTAATTTATTCAGCTGCTGAGAACAAGAGCGGTCTGACATTTCAGATACATCATTCTGTCACAGTGTTCCAATTAGGCTAAACTGCGCTAATAGGCATTGGAAGCAAACAGTCGTCTGCATTGTAAATAAACCTGTTAAGGAGGGTTGTGAATCCACACGCTATTGTCACATTGCCATTTGTTTCCTTGTACTGTATAGGCTGAGGTATACAATGGTGTGATTGTCTCTGTGATCTTCCTGTTTGTTTGTGATCTCCATGGTGCCAGTTTTGCTCACAGGTGAAATGTGCCTGAACACGATCTCCTCTAGTTTTTGGATGAAACGTTGTTGCCAATGATGTGATAATTCATTCTGCTGTTACTACCCTCTCTGAGCTGTCTAAAGGGTTGGGATTTGGCCCTGGCAGGATGTGAAATGAAATTTGGCTGCCATATCTGAGGCCTGTCACCTCATGACTTCTCCCCTCATTGTGCCACTGCCCTGAGACCACTTGATTTGCATCAGGCTTCCTCTTCCTCTCTGCTCTACCATGGTACCTGGTTTAGTAAGTTCCTGCTGATGTTATCTTGAGTTGATTTGGTGGAACAGCTGAAACCCGTGAGACTGAATCTTTTAGGCAGAGTTTACTCTCACATGCCACAACTAGGAGATTCACTGTTCCAGTGTTTCCCACTTAAAGTCTCAAACCTGTAATAAGCAGTCATTAACCTTTTCTATGGGCAGTAGAGTATCATGTGAAGGTCCTCTAATGTGAGACCCTCAGGCTAGATGTGCAGCTTTTGAGTGTGATAGTCTGTCTGACTGGTGGGCATCAGTATCTGACTTGTTTCGCAACACTTCTTCTGTGCAGTGGGGCAGAATGCTAAAAGCTTGATCTTGCTGAAGATGCCAGATGTTATTATAGAGCGCTGAGCCGCACTTTGAAAAACAAGAGGATATATATAATTTTTCTTTATAAAAATAATATTAATAATAATAACTCTCAATTTTATACATTTATATATACTACACATTTTTTTAAAATTATATACTATTTCACTACTACATATTGTGAAACATTATTACAATTAATGACTGTTTTCCATTTTAATATATTTCAAAATGTAATTTATTCCTGTGATGGAAAAGTTGAATTTCCAGCATCATTACTCCAGTCTTCAGTGTCACATGGTCATTGTCACATGTCACAGAAATCATTCTGATATGCTAATTTTCTGCTCAAGAAGCATTTCCCATTATTATCGATGTTGAAAAGTTGTGGTGCTTAATTTTTGTGAAAACCATGATACACTTTTTTTAGGATTCTAAAAGAACAGCATTTATAAAAATATTTTGTAACATTATAAATGTCTTTAATTTCACTTTTGACCAATTTAATGCATCCTTGCTGAAGAATACAATTATTCATTTCTTGCAAAAAACTATCTTACTGCCCCCAAACTTTTGATGGATGGATGTTCCAGAGTAGCCTGGTAATACCAAACTCTGCTACTTGGGGGGATTGGGGGGGGGGGGGGGGGGGGCCAATCACATAACGTTTGATTATGACATGACGTGTGTGTTATTCGCCAGTTCAGCCCAAGGGGGTAATCCATCAGACGGAAGTTGAAGCCTCGCGGGAGCCGCCATTGTAGCAGACCATCACCTGCTGTTAGCATCCCATTGACTCCCATTCATTTTGGCGTCACTTTGACAGCGAATAACGTTACATCTGAGGCGTCCAAAGACTTCATTTGTCCATTATTAATTTCTAAAGAAACACGACAATGTATAAAATGTTCCATTACTTTGTATCTTACGTTATAGCCCCGTAGAAGCCGTTTTTTTTTAAATAGGCTAAAGATTGCGTCATAACCACGGGACTTTCTGTCGCACAATAGAGACATTACCGTATAGACAGGAGGAGAAGCTCGCAGGCAATCTTTAACTGTCTATGAGGCAATCAGGAGGACATGGATGATGGAGGCACAAAGTCAAGGTAGAAGCCCATAAATAGAGAGTCTATAAAAGCAATGGGACAAAATATTTCAACAACGTTTTTGAGGAATTAGGTGATTCAGATTTATCTTGGCACAGCTACTATAAGATTTTCAACTGCCAGACTGTCGTCACGCTCAGTTTGAGCCTGCGCAGTCGCTCAGACTAGAGGTCTTCACGGGTCCACTTGGATCCGAAAACCCGAGGTCCGACCCGAGACCCGAACGGGTTCGGGTCCAAAACTCCGACGAGTGTCTCGGACACGGGTCGGGTTCGGTATTAGTGGCCTCAGGTCTCGGGTAATTTAAAATAAATATGCCTTTTCCAAATGGACCCGAGAAGACCCGAATTCTTTTAAACTATGTTGGGCATTTAAGAAAGTTGCAGTATTTAATACAACTCTATGACACCGTTCTCTCACTTTTTCTAAGTGAGAGAGCGAATCCGGGCTTCTACGTGCAAATGGGCTATAAGCATAAGCACGGTTGCCTCTGCATTTATTTACTCAGTTGCTCGCTCCACATAAACCAACCCCTCCCTTTGCCAAGAAGAACTAGTGCGCCATCATGTGGATGGATGTTTGACTAAATGCAAGTATTTGAATTGTCGTTTAGCCAGGCCTGTCAATCAATTTTAAAAATACGCGACACTGTCAGAAAACCATGGAGGCGATAACAGAAATTGCGAAAAATGTCAGGGAAAACGAATGGTGGTTCTAATCCTCGAATGGACCGGTAAATAACATTATGCCAAATTTTATAGGACGTAATGGGTTACAGTGATGTGTGATTGACATTTTAGCACTTCAGCGCGCTTACACTTGCGCGTCTATGTTAAGTGCATTTTTGAGAAACGCAGGGCTGCAGGCTGTGCACAATGTAAATGCCGTTTACGTTCGGGTCCAGTCGGGTTCTAAAGGAAATGCCGTCAGGTCGGGTCGGACTCGGGTCTAATTTTATCGGGTCTGTCTCGGGTCGGGTTTTTCTTTAAAAAAAATAATTTATGCACGTCGGGTTCGGGGAAGTAGTGATTCGGGTCGATTCGGGTCGGGTACAGTTTTTAGGACCCGAGAAGACCTCTAGCTCAGACATCAGACAGGAAGTGCAATAATCGGGCTTCAAGTCTTCTCCGTTGAAATCAATGGGGTCGCTCTGTCCATTTCTTTTACTGTCTATGGTTCAGCCGCATCGAACTTCCACTGTAAACACATGTATGATGCGAAAACGAAACCATAGAGCGAAATACCGGAGTGAACATGGCTGACCGAGTTTTGCTGCCTCCTTAACCTTGTACCAAAACCTGTCGGGAGTAGGGGTGTCACGATTCTCCAAATCCTCGATTTGATTACAATTTCAATTCTAAAGTCACTGTTCGATTCGATTCTCGATTTTTACATTTATTTTTTTTAAAGCCGAAACCGGCCAATCAGGATTCTCTCTGTCTTACATGCGCTTCATGAGGCACACACGCAAGGTCTCTCGCTCTCCCTCTCTGCCGTGCGCGTGCTATACGGTTTGGTGCACAGTTTTTTCTCTCTCTCGCATGCGCGCTCTTGCTCGCTCACTCTAGATTCCGGGAGATTTGAACTAATTTGCGTGCATCAGGGAGCCGGTATCAATATGCGGTAGACTCCCGGAACTTCCGCGAGACTTGGGATGTCTGCAAACTGTGGCTTTTTTGAAGCGCGAACGTTGTCAACATAACTCACTGGAAATCCAAAAAACTTCCACACCTGCGACTTCAATGAAAGAGGAGGGGGTTCAAGTTCTGTCGATGGGTCTCCTGCATCTGCAGTTGCCATGCTATCTTTTGAATGGCTGTAGCTAAGTTAGAGGAGATTGACCATAGACTCGCAGCACAACACGCGTGTTTTTTTCCGCTTGCCAAGCCGACCGGGCGTGGCAGCATCGACGATTCCATTTAATTCGAAGTTCGAGATTGTGAATTAATTTCGACACCCTTAGTCGGGAGAAGGGCCACGACATCACCTCCATTCAAAATGTTACCAAACACTCTTCTTGTTCGGGCTTCAGTTTGGAAATGGCAGGAATATTCTCCACAACAGAGCGAATTGCATCCTGTATCTCCATATCTGCGGTCGTTTTTCGATTTCCCCAATCTTAAACTCAGTGCTTAGCGTCTACGTCACGGCTCTCAGCCCGCCCTCTGTTCGTTGATTGGCCGGCTGTTTTCAGGCCGGAGGAAAACTGAGAGACATGTCGATGTCTCAGACTGAGTACAGAAGCGAAATGAAATTGAGCGGAAGTACGAAGTCTGACGTAGTCAGGCTAGTTCCAGAGTGGAGTGTTAATTGTTTTTGAATTCTCATTTATGGTTCTCTGAGACTGGTTATTTTGGGACGTGTTCGGTTGTCTTTAGGCAGTAAATGTTAGGGTATCTGTGACAACCTAATTCAAAACATGTGTTTGTCGTGAAAACGCAATAAGGCACGTGACGACCTTTTATGTCTTATTTTAATTAATGTCTTTATTTTGTTTCTGTATAGTTGAGAGTGAAATGTTAATTTATACTGCAACTAAAAAAAACGAACAGTCTCATATTACAATGCTTTAATTGAGAAAAGAAATACGGTGATGAATATGTAATTCCAAACTGAAGTGGAACGTCCTCAGCACAGCAAGAGAACAGGACATCTGGGGACAAGAAGTTCCCAGATGAAGAAGAAAATATTCTGGAACACAAGGGCACTGAAGACGAGTGCCTTGAGACTCAAGAGTGTTCTCTGTTTTGCTTCTATTTTGAGGCTTTCTATTTTTATTATTGAGGTCACAGCATCTAAAATTTGAATAGTTAGATTAAAAGTTGATTATTAATTCATTTAGAGACTGAAATTAAACTAGGGATAGCCGTGTGTCTCTCATATTAATGCACTGTTGTTATGGAGAATGTAGTGGCAAGTGGCTTCAGTGTACCAGACAATCAATCAATCATCCATGTTCCTGAGAGTTTAGTCCTGTCTAAAAGAATAATTTGTTTTGAGAAATTCCTTAGGGTTCAGCTTGAGTGTGCGTATATGTTTGTGACCACTTCATCCGAGAAACCTAGTTCCCCCTAGTCAGCTTAATAGGTATGATTAGAGCTAAGGCTATTGATTGTCTTCCTTAACCAGCTCTAATGCACAGGGGACATGATGGCAGCCCTTCATATTGCTCTTAGGAACCCTCCAATCAACAGCAAGAACCCGGCAATAAAGGTACAGACAGTTTTAACAAAATCTCATTTTTACAATGAAGTATATAGAGCACAGATAGCACAATTTCTCGAAATACGCCATCTTTTCTGTCTTTCATTCCCAGGAAAGAGCTCAGACTGTGGTATTGAAAGTTCTGACATCATTTAGGGGCAGCGATATAGAGCCCGCTGTTAAATCTCTCGACAAGAATGGAGTCGATCTTCTTATGAAGTACATCTACAAAGGCTTTGAGAGGCCTGTAGAAAATAGCAGTGCCATATTGCTGCAGTGGCATGAAAAGGTAAACCCAAGAATTTTGTTCACTCAATTTGTCATGTTTCAGTCAGTAGGTCACAATGTAGGTACAAAACCATCAGATATGTAAAACACATTTTTAGTGGGCTATATATAGCATGAATAAAACGTAACTTTAATGTGGGATGCATGTTTCCCCCCCCCCCATCTTTAATAACAGGCATTTGCCATTGGAGGACTAGGCTCTATTGTTCGAGTTCTGACAGCCAGGAAGACTGTATGACTACCTGAGCAGACCTGGAAACAATGTCGCTAAGAGACGCAGAGGACATGAGGCAGGTTTGCCTGTTACTTAAAGGAAAGAACAAGAGACCATCGTTTTGAATGCTACTGCCCTGAAAAAAAAAAAAAAAAAAAAAACTGTAAACGGTAGAGAAACAACAAAGCACTTGTTTCAAACTGAAAAAAATATGCTTGTGTAAAAGTGAAGCAACGTTCATATGTCAGTATATCATAAATTATTCTATGATATACTGGCATCAAAAAAAGATTTCAATCCGACATGGTTTTTTGAGGGAAAAAATGGAAAACAAAACAATCCATGAGTAACATGTGGTGAATAAAGATCAGGTGAGTGTGAGCAGCAAACGCGAGTCAGTACATGAGGTTGTTATTTGATTAGTTAGATTTAATCAATGTTTTATTTTCTTATTTTATTTCACATCTTTTGTCCCATACTGCTTTGTTTTTGTGCAGAGATTTAATAATGGAACCAGTGATGTACACCAAAGGGGTAGAGTGGGGATCATTGTAAAGTGCCTGCTACAATAAAGTAAATGGATCTCCTTTATGTTGTCATCTGTGTTTGATTTAATTTTAATATATGATTTATGTAGAGTATGAACATAACTTACCTCATCGGCCATATAATAAAATGGTAATACTGTACAACAGATTTGTCTGACCTGTTTGACTGTTCTATCGGGATGGTGACCAACAGAAGCAGGAAGGGCAGGGTAATTAAGATAATACATATCAGGAAAACAAGATAAAGGGGTCTTTAAAGAATTCTGAAGGATGTAATGCTGATAACTTCTATCATGCCAAGACCAGAGCCCCAGGGATATCATTCATGGAACGGAGTGCTGTAATCTCACTGCTGGGCGGCACAAGGACCAGGAGCTGTATTCGTCTATAAATGTCAAATGGTTTTTCATGTGTATGGGCTGAATCGAATATTTGGTGAGTTTCACAACACTTAATTAGGGATGCACTGATATTAAAATTTTGTTACAACCAATAACTGATATATGGTCTATTAAATCATGCAGTATTTTGTCTAAATAAAATACTAAATGTTCAAATCAGTCATTTAAATACTACAAGTGAATCACAACATTTATAATGGATATTGGATTTAAAATTAATATTAATTCTGAGATTTGATAAAGAATTCAAGCGTTAAATTATTAGTGTTTTAAAGATGTTAATTAAATGAAATAATGGCAAAAATAATCTTAATTTAAAAGAATGAAAGGAGCATAACCAAATAAATATCTAAAATTAACCCCCCCCCCCAAAAAAATTAAACCTTTAATTTAAATTGTGTTGATCTAAAATATCATGATACCTATTCTTAATCACTTCTGTATAAGTTGTTTTAATGCACATTTATATTATGTGTATATGTATTAAGGAACACCAAAAATTAAGCAAAACAGTCATAAACTTTTTAATATTCTTAAATAGCATTCTTAAAAACAAAAAGCTTGCATGTTTTGGTTTCATCACTGTTTTGTTTTTTTTCTCTGCATTTAACAACAAACATCAAATATAATTTGGCAACAGATAAGACAAAACAGTTAAGTGATTAAAAACACATGACAATTGGACAATGCAGTTCAACTAGCAACTCTAGAACCCCTTAACTTATAAAGAAAGAGTATTCTGACCATTACATCACTTTTGAAAATGTTCCCTCCCACAACAGTAGGAACTGGTAGAAATCACCATTACTACACCTTAGATCTGGCCCCATGTTGACAATAGAAAACAAATGCAGTTGATTTTCTTTCTGTTCCTTCCAATCATGGCTGCTAATGCATTTACAGCATTCATTACAATGGTGCAGGGGGCATCGACATTTAACAGATCTGCTAAATAACATGCATCTACTACATAAATGTGGGCAATAGGTAAGAAAACACTTAAATAAAATAAAAAAGGGGTATTGCATTTCCCCCTAAATCTTAAATTGGTAGGTTTATGCTGTGGTACATTTCACATATAAGTGCTTAAAGTCCGTATTCACCCCTGTGCTCTCAGATGAATGGTGTGTGGTGTGAATACAGCACTATCCCGGGACAGTCTGAGCGAGAACTTACAGAGCTAATCTATAGGATGCTGTGAAGTTAAGATACTTATACACACACATACTAACATAAATTAAATAAGGCAAAAACATTCGACAGTCCACCAGTCAAGGTCAGACAACTAGAGGAGAGGAAACGGTGACATCCACCATCTGTTTCCCTCTTCATCTCCATCCAGCCCTCCTCCTTTTGGCAAACTAAAACAGTATAATAATAAAAAATAAAATAAAAAGCTAGGCCATGAAACAATTTGTGCCTGCAAGACTGTAATTTGGGCAGTGGATTTTCTATGTTAAAGTTGATTTTGTTTGGCAGTGATTTGTTCGTTAGCAAACTTCTCTCTTTTTACACAAGAGAATGTTTTTTATTTTTTTTTTAAATAAGTGCGTGGAAGCAGCTATGACGTGAAAACGTGCTAAAATATAAACTACACTAAAGGAGAGAGATGACGGTATTTTACGGGACCTTGTGCTCTCCACATGCAAGAATCATTTGGTCCTATTTGAATGTCCATGATAAAACCAGCAGTTCTGGGGAAGAGTTGGTAAACGTTGAAAAATCCATCATTATGTGTGCCGTTTTGTACCAGAGATCACAGACGGAGAAAGGGATGAGCTTTTTGCCAAAAGTGTGACATAACAGAATGATCAGACATGCCTCTTGCCAACAGCACAATAAATAACATCAGAATAAAACTTAAATAGTGCAAGTAAAGTGCAAGGCTGTTATTGTAACCGCTATCATCGTAATTATCAACGTGACGTAATGAACCGAACGAAAAATTGATCACATCACTTCTTACTAGACCGATGCAATGCACTTGTCCTTGACACAGATGGGGCGTGAAGGAGGCATGCTCTTATGCCATGATCCTTGGAATGTCAGCTGACTGCACTTGTGTGAAGTGGCGGGAAGGTGCGCAGTTGAGACAGTGGCATGGTCCATTCACAGATTAGACAAAAGAACACTGCCCCTGTCACATGCAGAGGGTCATTTTTTTTCACAGATCTGCCACAACAAACAACCCAGACAGAAACACTTCTCTGCATCACATTGACTTCTTATAGAACTATACATATATTTATATATATATATAGATATATACACAAATTTGTACTTATATACAGGAGTACGCCTGTACATCTCTGTGACACTATAAAAGAGAACTTTGTTGGCTATTGGTGTCCACTGCACACATGGAATAAGACATTAGGTTATTACATCAGCTATGCAAGTATGGGCTTACCACACTACTGAGGCATGCTAAAAAGAATCTCTTTTGAAGAAGCGCTCGATAAAATGGAGATTCTGGTGTCAACGTAGCGATTATTCGAGGACCAGTTAGCTGATTACCAAAATAACCCAAAAGAGGCACAGCGCGGTGGACCTCCTTCAAAAGGCCAGGCTAAAGTCCACGAAATTTGTGTCAAGACGAAAAACGAACACGTTTTAATGAACGAAAACAAACAAGAAAGGCAAGACAGAGCAAATAAATGCAAACATGCTGCACGCTCCCTACGGAAAAAATTGTGTAAACGTTGCAGAGGCAGAGTGTTGAGAAGGGAAAACAAACTTCCTTCTCCAAAATGTGTTTTGTCAAAGCCTTAGGCTCATCTTTTTGGAAGAATCTCCCTGGAATTACACCAATTGACATTTACAAAATGTTTCCAAATCTCTTTCTGAAGTCTCCTATGTTATCTTGTGCTTTCTAATCACCTTCAGAAACGGCGATAGCTTCCCTCAACAGGTCTGAACGCCCGTGTGCCTGCGCTCGTACACTCATACGGTACATGCATGTAGTAAATCTCCGTGTTCTCCTGTATGTTGGGAGCAACGCTTTTGCATCTGGGTGTGTGTAGTTAGTTAAAATCTAGAAATGCATGTGAACTAGACAAACTGTAAATATCTGCCCACAATGATGAGATATTTTCTCTTGAACTATCTAGATCTTAATGAGATTAGGTTAAACAACCAGCTTATTCAGAAGAAACTACCTACAACTTGTGTATCCGTGTATGGACATGAGCGTGTGTGTGTGTGTGTGTGTGTGTGTGTCTGGAAGTTGGCATGGTGCCACCATGTGGTCAATAGTTATCCAACAAGCCATCAGAGAAGAGGTTTTGCACATCCAACATGGCCGCCAGCTCAAGCACATGTTTCTGTAGAAGGCTGCTCTCCACCATCTCCTGTTTCGGCAGCTGGGGGTACGATTCTGGAAAACTCCTCGCTTCCTGTAACGTGCACAGAAACAGCATCCTCATCCAGCTGCTTTGTGAAAACATCTTGAATAAAACATTGGTTCAAAAACTGTGTTCAACTCCTGCAGTCTTATAAATGTGATCTCTATTTGCTGTTATATTCTGTCACTTAAAAAAATTACACTTATCTGAAAGGGTTTGGCTCTAAAAGGTTTGGGCACGTTTTCACCTGGTCACTTCATGTGTTTTTACGGATCGAATAGCTATCTGAATAGTTTAAAACGGTTCCATTTACACTTGGCCACATAAATGTGTCTCCGCAAAACAGATATAAATCGGATTTAAAAGCGTCTCGAAAGCGTTTCGGAGGCCATTTAAACCTGGTCTTTTCACGATTGGAAAGCTATATTTTCAAAGAAACCGCATAAAGTGACCAGGTGTAAACAGGCCCTTTGATATGACATTGACTTGAATTGGTTCTGCTTCCAGAGGACCTAAATTTGTTCATCTATCTTTTTCGGTAAAGCGGCTGCAGTTTTCAGTCAGTAGTTCTCAAACTGTGGAGTGTGTAGTTCCACCAGGAGGTTAACAACAATAGATAAAATGTATATTTTAAATGATAATTTTTCAATGTCATTTATATGTTTTATATATGTTTAATGCAGCTTTGTATGTCTAAGACTTTGGATATCTCGTAATTATTATTGTGGGATACAAAGAGTGAAGTATTATTATTTATTATATTTATAAAGTATTATCAAAATACTATTATAGTAATATTTTAAAGTAGAATTTATTTTTATATATATATATATATATATATATTTTTTTTTCGCTATTTATAATTAGTTTATTTTGTGTAATATTTCAATTTAGCTTTATTTTTATTTAAAATTTAGTTTGAGTTATTTTATTAAACGAAAATTAGAAATGTTGCAAATAACTGAAATAAAATAAGTTTAAGTAGCAAGATTTAAGAAAAAAAATAACAGGTGAGATATATATATATATATATATATATTAGGGCTGTCAAATGATTAATCGTGATTAATCACATCCAAAATAAAAGTTTTTTTTACATAATATATGTGGGTGCACTGTGTATAATTATTTTATATATATAAATACACACACATGCTTGTATATATTTAAGAAATATTTTCATGTATATACTGTATATAGATTTATATATAATTTATATTATATATAAATATAAATATTTTATATATAAATAATATTTTTTCTTAAATATACATGCATGTGTGTGTATTTATATATGTACAAAATAATTATACACAGTGCACCCACATATATTATGTAAAAAAAACTTTTATTTTGGATGTGATTAATCGTGATTAATCATTTGACAGCCCTAATATATATATATATATATATATATATATATATATATATTTATTTATTCTTTTCTTTCTTCTTCTTCTTCTTCTATTGGACCTCAACTGAAGTCAATTTCCTGAAGGCAAGCTTTCAAGAAACACTGGATTCAGATCTCAGTGTTGAGAATAGTAGCCTATTAATAAATGTAACCAGTCTGTTTAAAGAAGAAGTTTAAAGATAAGCTGCAATACCTCATATTTTAAAGTGTATTTAGTATTTATTTATGTGTTTGAACTGTGCTGCATATTTACACTTGTGAAAATACCCAAAATGGTTTAAAATGTTTTAAAAAGTTTTTTTTTTAATTGTTGCTTTAATATCAGGTTCGTGAGACAAATATGACTATTATTTCACTGATTATTATTGATCAAATTGTGTTTATTATAGTAACATATATAATATTATAGTAACATATATAATATTCATTCAATTCAGTCTCACCCGGAAGAGCTTGTGTAATCGGAGCGTGGTGCAGCAGAACACGAAACGGATCATGAGCAGTCGCAGAAACTCATCGCCATAAAACTGCAGAAAAGCCTGATCTGGAAGACAGTCAACAGGAAAACTATGAAATATATATCTGTCCATTGGTCCAACTAGTCAATGATGTATAAAAATGTATGAAAGTATAAAAAAAAAGCACAAAACAAATGACAAGGGATAACGGCGCATTACCTATAACTCGGGAACTCGTGATCATCTGGCCAATGTCATGGAAAACCTTCCGCAGGAGTTCCTGAGCCTTTTCCCACAATCCATAGCGCATGCTGCTCAGTCCACAGACAGACAGGAACCCCATGAGGGGGTTGTAGAGGAAGAGAGTAAACAGACTTCCACGCTGAGACTGGTCTACAAGCGAGTAAAACAGAAAACAGTATAAAAATACAAAATGTATTAACATAATAACAGACAATCTTACTTCAAGGGGAAAAAACTAAATAGGAAAAAATAAAAAGCTAAGCAAATTTTTTTTTTTTTTTTTTTCTCAACACAAATGTCAAAACAAACAAAGAAGAGACCTTGCATGCTCTTCGGATATGCTGTTGGAGAAAGCAGGCATACAAGTGGTTGACCGAACAGGTTGGAGAAATTCTGTGAAAAGACAGGAAGAAGTCAAACAGTTAGTTTTACATTATTTTTAATTTTTAACAATAAATTTACTCTACTAGTAGTGAATGGTTCATGTGTTATAAATGTACACTAGGGGGCACTCCATTACTGAACAAAGCAGACAACTAAAGAAAATCAGTCGAGGAGGAAAAAACCTGAAACAAAGGGTGATCAAATCAATCTATAATTAAAAAGATAAAAACTACAACAGAGCTGTTTTAACTCCCTATTCAAGGTATCTTACTTCTCGTGTTTATCCTAGTAAATAAGTTAGATTGTCTTACTTATAGAGCAAGCACATGGCTGCTCTTGAATAATGAATGGCCTCATGATGTGAGCGTATGATAAAGAAAGGGAGACAGAGAGTTTATGTCTCACCTTATAAGCTGTGCTGTTGGATGAGTCGACAATGATAAACAGAGGTTTCCTGGTGAAGGGGAAAAGGTCTCCTGGGTGGAGGCTGAAAAACACACATTTGTGCATGTATGCGTGTTAAAATAACACCTCGTGTCTCAAATGTGTAGTAAGCACATAGTTTCAATGTAGAGTAGGCTAGCACAGAATGGGTGTCAATGAAGGCTCACCAGTGCATCTCTTTTTGTGCCTGATTTCTCTTCTGCACCATCTCACCATTCACCACATCTCGGTTAGTATTGGTCAGGACACCTCCAAAGTCATAAGGTCCTGTAAATAAATGTTAAATGTGATGTGAAATAATGATGGGACAGATCTTACTCCTCCTCGTATGCATCCAAATGTAGCATCATGATTCTTTTTGCAGTGGGACTACTTTTCTGAGTTTATCAAATTCTGTTTCTAACACTGTTCAAAAGTCTGGGTTCAGTAAAAAAGAAATTAAGGATTTGAATATTTGTATTCAGCAAGGATGCACTAAATTGTGTAAATTAAAACTGGCATTTATAGTGTTGCAAAAAAAAGTTTCCATTTAAAATAAATTAATTTCCACAAAAATATTAAGCAGCTCAACTATTTTCAACATTGATAAATTATAAGAAATGTTTCTTGAGCACCATATCGGAATATTAGAATGATTATGAAGAACGGAGTAATGGCTGTCACAGAAATAAATTACATTTTAAAATAAAAAAAAAGTACAAAACAGTTATTTTAAATAGTAATATTTTACAATATTTACTGTTTTTACTGCATTTTTGATCAAATAAATGCATTATTGTGAGCATAAGAGACTTCTTACTAAAACATTTTTAAAAAATCGTGTGATACCATGCTTTTGAACCTTAGTGTATATAATTTCTGTGGGTGGTATTTAAAAAAAAGTGCTCTACCGTTAGCTGAGCTAAATTACACCTGGTATTCTCGTATGGATATTTCATGCAGAATATACCCACTTAACAATTTCAAGATTTAAAAGATCATATATTACTGTGCACAGAAAAGGCTGGCAAGTGATTCGAATCAGTCTGTGCTAATGCAGATGTGTTTTTGAACATGGCAGTATGTTTGTAAAACACATCATACATGGCATTACACAAGTCTTCGATTCCTACAATTTGATTGGCTTAATAGCATTCCAAGAGTGCTTATTTCGTTAGTATTTATGTACATTTTAAGATAACAATATTCCATATCATCCAGTGATGTCAGACAGAACAACTGTGCTAAAACACCTCGGCGTACCTTCACACTCAGAGCGTCCATTGGGGAAAACTCCAGTGGCAGAGAGATACACCAGCAGGACACTATTGGCTGGCAGCTCCTAGCAATAAAAGAATCAATGAAAGAAAAGAAAACTTTCAATGACTAGAACAGATAAATGAATCCATTAAATTGGCTTATTAAATCAGAACGCTCACAATACTACAAATGGTAAAGCAGTGTCATAGCAAGCTTAATTATTAAGTTCAGTGGCACACTAAGTGCTGCACAGCCAGAGCATCTCAGATACAGATGCACAAACAATTCAGAATATAACATTTAAAAATTCTTGGGCTGTGTCCACTGTCCATCTTTGCACATAGGGACACACACACACATAGAACAGCTAATAGCAGGAACTGGTTAAAGAAGCACATAGAAATGCCTTATTTGTCATCATTTATCTAAACAAAACATGAAGCAAGATGGAAAACAGCCTAAAAATAGGGGTGTTTGAGAGTTAAAAATGAACTGCTCCGTAGCAAAAGTGTGCGAGGATCTGAGTCGTGTGCGTGTGGGTTTTCCTCACACTCTCGAGGTGCTACACTACAGCAGAGCAGATAGTAACACGCTAACACCCCTGTAGCATGCCATGCTGCAACTCACACTCACACATGAGGTGTCACTCCAGACAACAGAACAGAAACTAGTGCATAGGATAGACAATAACCATAATGCAATTATGCAGGAAATGCCTGTTAAATTCCCTTGAGATCCAGAGGCTTTAAAGGCCCAATAAAAGCATATGACAAGCCATGTTAATGTGTTTCCTATTGAAACAGGTTTAGGTGAGGAATAATAAAGGATTCCTCCTTTTTTTAAAGTCAATAGGCCTTGGTATAACTATGTGTTTTCGGTTTTAGGGGGAGATGGGACATAAATTTGTGTAGTGCAAGATATCTTTGGGGAGTTTTTGCAGAAGAGAAAGACATTATGCAAATTTTAAATATGTGGACTACTGTTCAAAAGTTTAGGGTCAATAAATGCTTATGCTTACTAAGACTTTGAGTATCTTACTAAGATAGAGAAAAACTGTAATATTGTGAAATATTATTACAATTGAATTTAATATAACTGCTGTCTATTTTGATATATTTTAAAATGTAATTTCTGTGATGTAAAGCTGTGTCATATGATCAGTGTCACATAATCCTTCAGAAAACATTTTAATATGTTGATTTGATGCTCAAGAAACATTTCCTATTATCAATGTAGAAAACAAATATTCTTTTGGTAAAAATCATACTTTTTATATAATTTATTGAAACCATGTTAAAGGTGTCACCTTTCTGGATAAAACATTATTTCTTAAAAAAAACTTACTGACCCCAATGGTCAGAGACTTTTGAACGGTAGTTTATATTTGCTTAAAGTACAAATTGTCATTTAAGAGTCTACTGGCATAGCATATACAGTCGTGCTCAGAATTAATGGTACCCCTGGTAAATATGACCAAAACTGGCTGTAAAAAATAAATCTGCATCGTTTATCCTTTTGATCTTTCATTCAAAAAATTGCCACAAAATCTAACCTTAAATTGAAGAAAAAGAATTGAAAGTGAGGGGAAATCACATTATGAAATAAATGTTTTTCTCCAAAACACGTTGGCCACAATTATTGGTACCCCTAGAATTTTTTACGAGTAAAATATCTCTGAAGTATATTCCCATTAATGTTTACCTTTTTTAGCACACCAGGGTGACTAGGAACATGAAATTGTCCAGCTATGACTTGTTTCACAGGAGTTTAAATATGAGGAAACACAAAGGCCAAATTCCCTTAATCATCCATCACAATGAGTAAAACCAAATAATACAGTTCTGATGTGCAGCAAAAGATTGTTGAGCTTCACAAAATAGAAAGTGGCTGTAAGAAAATAGCTAAACCATTGAAAATCCCCATTTTGACCATCAGGGCAATAATTAAGAAGTCCCAATCAACTAAAGATGTTACGAATCTGCCTGGAAGAGGACGTGTGTCTATAGTGTCTTAATGGACGGTGAGGATGAAAGTTTGAGTGGCCAAAGACTCTTCAAGAATCATAGATGGAGAATTGCAGAGATTAGTTGATTCTTGGGGTCAGAAAGCCTATATAAAAAAAAAAAATCAAACAACCCCTACATCCCCACATGTTGTTTGGGAGGGTTTCAAGAAAAATCCTCCTCGCTCATCCAAGAACAAACTCCACCAAATTCAGTTGTCAGACACGACTGGAACTTCAAACGGCACAGGGTTCTGTGGTCAGATGAAACTAAAAAAAGAGCTTTTTGGCAGCAAACACGCTAGATGGGTTTGGTGCACACAAGGTTAAAAAGTACCCCATGTGTACAATTTAATAAACCGTTGGATCTTTAATGTTGTGTGCATATTTTTCTGCTGGAGGTCCTGGACTTCTTGTTCAGACACATGGCATCGTGGATTCTATCAAATATCAACAGATAAAAAATCAAAACCTGACGCCTTCTGCTAGAAATCTTATAATGGGCCGTGGTTGGATCTTCCATCAGGACAGTGATCCAAAACAAACATCAAAATCAACAAAAAAAATTGTTACGGAGGACAAAATGAAGCTTCTGCCATGACCGTCCCAGTTCCCTGACCTGGTGAGTGGAGTGAACTGGAGAGAAGAAGCACCAAAATGGATCTGGGAATCTGAAGGATCTGGAGAGATTCTGTATGAAGGAATGGTCTCTGATCTCTGGTCAGGAGTTCTCCAAACTCATCAGGCATTATAGGAGAAAACTCAGAGCTGTTATCTTGTCAAAAGGAGATTGCAAAAAGTATTTAATAAAAGGGTGCCAATAATTGTGGCCAACGTGTTTTGGAGAAAAACATTTATTTCATAATGTGATTTCCCCCCACTTTCAATTCTTTTACTTCAATATAAGGTTAGATTTTTGGCAATTTTTTTAATGAAAGATCAAAAGGATAAACGATGGAGATTTATTTTTTACAGCCAGTTTTGATCATATTTACCAGGGGTACCATTAATTCTGAGCACGACTGTATATCACATTTGATTTAAGCTTAATCGCTATATGTGAAATGTCACTGCTACAAGGTCTCTACGCAAATATAGAGTCAAAACAGGACGAAAATGACAGGATGGATTGACAATTAATTGACAGGTGCTAAAAACTGCAATGACATCAAACAAACCTTGAAGGAGGCAGACAGGAAAGTGAAGAGCTGGCTGAAGGTTGGTTTGTAGAGTAGATATTTATGAGGGTTCTCTCTTTTGGCAGGCTTTTCATTGGGCTCCTATAATGAGAGAGATAAACGAGTGAGAGAGGAATAGAGAGACACAGAGAGCAGGTGGAGTGAGATAGAACAGTAAGAGAGACCCTGAAAAAGGTGAAGTAATGAAATAGCGAGGGAGGAAGGGTGAAAATACTCAGAAACACTCAACATAGAGAGTGACAGGGAGAGTGTAAGAGTCTTCTCTTACAAGTGTCCCTGGTTTGGAGCTTTGTGTGGCCAGGTTCACTGGTTCCCTCTCAAGCGCTTGAAGCATACGAAACATATCGATGGTCAGCTCGCTAAACTTCACCTGCAAACCAGATGAAATCCAACCATTGCAAAAACCAGAGTTGTAACCTATACAACAAGTTCGAAGTGTCTAATCATTTACATAAGAAAGCACCGCTTGAATTTGACATATTATATAACTTGCTCAGCCTGCTAGGTGTTTTGCTGTACTGTACTCCCACCTGACTGTTACAGTTGCCAATGATGAGTGCATCTGCCAAGGTGAGCTGGCCAACCACCATGCCCTGTTCAAGAGGGGGCACACCCCCCTCCTGCAGCCGATTGGATATGACCACCATGGCGTTGTCATCATTTACGATCATAAGAGGATCTGCCTGTGTAGGTAGAAAAATAGTAGATGAGAAAGGCACAACAGTAAAGAAAATATCAATATTTGTCAAACAGTCTTACAGAGTGGACTACATCTGACCTTTGTAACAGCAAGTCGTGTAAGAAGAGGTATTTATAACATCTGAGTTAAAGTGCAAAACATAGAAACATTTTTACATGAAATAAAAATTAAACTGATTTACTATACACTACTTTTCGGTACTTTAAAAAAAAAATCAATATTGATAATAATAATTACATTTAAAATATAAAGTAGAAAACAGGTTATTTTAATGATGGTTATTAAAAACTGTATTATTATTATTATTATTATTTAATAATACTGTTGTTGTGACTGTATTTGATCAAATTTACTGCCCCCAAACTTTTGACTGGTAGTGGTCTTACTGTGAATGATTTGGTTTATATTATTCCAGATAAAAAACTGCTTCATATTCTTTCTTCAAGATCATAATTTGCTCAATCTCTGAACAACTTTGCTTTTCTGTTGACATACTCAATATTTTTTATATCATGAAAGGGGGTTGTGAATCGCATTTCATGGTAATTTAATTAGTGCAATTGAGTGGTGCAGGTATGACATCACTTTGTATGCCAAATCGTGGAAACGAGTTAGCACTTCCAGTTCTATCATCCCAAAGTCAATGGTTTTTTTAATGGGATTTTGGTTAAATGATATGCCCAGCAGCCATCACCCTGTAGCCCAAGACTGGTTGCCCACTGAAGCTAAGCAGGGCTGAGTCTGGTCAGTACCTGGATGGGAGACCTCCTGAGAAAACCAGTTTGCTGCTGGAAGAGGTGTTAGAGAGGCCAGCAGGGGGTGCTCACCCTGTGGTCTGTGTGGGTCCTAACGCCCCAGTATAGTGACGGGGACACTATACTGTCAAAGAGCACCGTCCTTCGGATGAGATGTTAAACCAAGGTCTTGACTCTCCGTGGTCATTAAAATTTGCCCCTTGGCCTCTGTCCATCATGGCCTCCTAATCATCCCTATACTGATTGGCTTCATCACTGTCTCCTCTCCACCAATAAGCTGGTGTGTGGTGGGCGTTCTGGCGCAATATGGCTGCCGTCGCATCATCCAGGTGGATGCTGCACATTGGTGGTAGTTGAGGAGATTCCCCCCTCCATATGTGAAGCGCTTTGAGGTCCCAGAAAAAGCGCTATATAAATGTAACGAATTATTATTATTATTATTATTATTTTATTATTATAAGTGGCTGAAAAAAGGTCTGTGGTGAACACCAGCTCAAGACACTTTCACGTTTTATTCTACGACATAAAATACATCAGTATTACCCCTTTTTTTTTAAAGCTGATACGTGTCATGAAAAAGGCGGTTGCTAAAAAGTGGCTAAATGGGACTTCAGAGGCTCTCGGGGACATTAAACGTCATCACGCCGAACAGGTAAGATCAGTCCGCTTTTACAGCCTGCTGCTTATAATTGTGCTCTTATAAACTATTCTAACATTCTGAGAAAATGTTTTTACATAAAAACTGAAAGAGTTGTCGGAAGCTTAGTGATGATGACGTTGAATTCGTGGGACCGTGGTGCAGTTAGTTTATACCCTACCTTCAGCTTTTTTTACTCGTGGCGACTGCATTTAGGAATTAAAATTCATAAAAGTTGTGTTTTTGTCATCTGTGAAAATTATCTTGATGGACAAAACGAGTAAGTATCATATAATTTTGTTGATCACAGAGCTTATTTTTACGATAATCCAAAAGCCTATGGAAAAATCCTATTGAGTTTTTGTCGAGGGAACCAGAGTGATGCTAACTAGCGGTTGGCCTACAAAGTGACGTCATACCACCACCACTGATGACACTTTATGCACATTATAGACCTCTTAAAAAGAATTCTTACCTCCACAAAAGCAGCAACTTCTTGCAGCACCAGGTTCCACTCTAACTGGTCCTCTGTGTTGAAGCGCTGGGTGTAGTCCTCAATCTCCTCAGAAAGCTCCTGCAAAAAAAAGACACCACAGATGGTCTCAGAAACACCGATATAGACCATACTGGGTTTTTCTTCTCATGAACGGTGAATTGTTGTCAGTATATTTATTAGTCCTTTGCAAAAAACAAATGTAAAATAAAAAAATCCATTAATTTCTATAAATATGAGTATATGAGTAATGGCTGGCAGTGTGCAATTTTACAGAGCCAAAATTGATGAGGCGTGAATTTTGTCTTAATTCCAGCTGCATAACTAACCAACAGACTGTCCATGCTGACTGATCCTTTGGCAAGAACCTCTGTTCGACTGAATATCTATAGTGAGCCATGGAGTAAAAATGTGTAACTGGTCCATTTGGTCTGCCGTCCATGACTTACCTTGACTAGCACTTTAACCAGGTCCATCTTGTTGAGCAACAGACAAACAACGATAAACCGAGCGTAATACCTCAGCTTTTTTACAACCAGCTCAGGCCTGTGCAAAGGAGAAGGGACAAGATTAATGAACTGAAGAGAAAACCATAAAAGACAGAAATTTGGAATATTTACTGCCTTACTTGCTCATAAGTATATTACTTTAAAGAACTTTCCAGAACATAGAAAATAAAAATCAAGAAAACATCAACTTTGCTCATCACAGTTCATTGTATCGCCTTTTCACCTGTCTTCTTTGTTGACTTGGTGGTAATATGATCGCTGGCGAATGGCCGAATAGAAAGAAAAGGCTTCATTTAGATAGCTTGTTTCTGAAGTGCGGAGGCTGAAGAAGACAAAATAAAAAAATAACAACGTGAAAACAATTCTTGAAGTACACTGTTTGAAACCAGATGAATAAATAGCTGTGTTAAAAGGCTCCTTACTAGTAATGGTAGTACAACTGCCCAATTTTTGAGGCCACTTCACCTATCTGCCACCTCTTGAGACCATACCGGTTGTCCAGGACTTGTCTATTCTCCAGTAACATAAACCCAAATAAGAAGAATCAAGAATCATCTGTCATTAATGCTGACATCATAGTGCAGAGGAACTATCAGAGGGAGGTTTGATCATGCATGTTAAATCTTCAGTCTTTTGTAGTTCTAAGCCTACCGGTTTTATTTGTGAGATTTTGGTAAAAAAAAAAACAGTCCTCTGTTTCAAAAATAGATCTAGGGCTGACCTGTGCTGCTGCTGAAACTTCCACAGCCTGGTGTATACGTCAAATGTTCGGCCAAAATAGGACTGCCACTGCTTGTGTCCATATTGAGGCAGATCCCTGCAGGAGTGCGAGAGAACAAGCAAGAGAAACACAGCCAAATTTACTACAGTAATGCATTCTCCTCATTTATAGATACTCAAACGTCAATTTAACAGGCTTTAACAGACAGAATCAAAATAAACCATTTTCTAAGTGCTTGTGTTTACACAGTCAGTATTTGGAACTGACATAGTAAATGATAGGAAAAGTTCGACATATACGTTTTTTGGGGTTATGACAGTTGATAATTATGAGGTCAAAAAAGACATACATGGATGTATCATTCACATAAAATCAACATGAATTTCAAAAATAGAATTTTCTTTTCATTTCAACTTTACAGGAGTGTCTCAAATAAAGACAATATGAAAAAGGAACTGATATCGAAGATATAGTTGTGATAGATAACGATTATGGCAATGACTAAGTAAATATAAAAAAATGGTGACTTCCATAACACTAGAAAATCTCATCACAATTAATTTGATAAAAAGTTAATTTAGCAAACAAGTCAAATAGAGACTTCCACAATTAGAGACAATAGTCTTCTGCGAACACAAAAGAAATTATTTTGAAGAATGTTAGTAACCAAACAGTTTTGGTGACCATTGTATTCCATTGTAGACAAAAAAAAATAAAAAAAATGCTGGGACATTTATCAAAATATCTGTGTTTTTTTCTTCCACAGATGACAGATGACTATATTAACAGACTTCTATGCAATGGGAATTGCTTTTTACATATGATCGAGGTACTGTGACTCATTGTTTTAATCACTAGTTTCTTTTAAAATAATAAATCAAGGTTGTATTAAACCCAAACCTACGATACCCACATATCATTATATAAGGCATTTCTGCCCCTCTGCCTTGACACTCCAATTGCAAGACATCATTATGGACAACAGCAGATGAGCCTTCCAAATATACAAGTGGTCATGGTTGTCATGCACTTAATTAACATAATCATGCCAATGATGAGAAGACATTGGTGGAGGGGGAGAGCAAAAACAGAGCAATCAGAGAGTCAGAAAGTGCGAGTGGGTGAGAGTGTTTGGGCAGGGCTGTGGTGAGTCATAGTGCCGATGATGTGAAGGAATTTGACGAGCTATGGCAATCAGCTTGAGAAGTAGCACTTTTGCCTCTATTCGCTCTTTCTCTCTTTATTCCTTTCTCGTCCTTTTCCCCCTAAACCTTCCAAAACCACCTCTAGGCCCTATTGTAATCATCAAAGGGTTGCTATGACAACAGAAGCAGGGACTGGGGAAAGAAGGGAGGTTGCGAATGCAGCAGGTAAATTCAAAAGCCCTCATTTACATATGCTCACACGATTACAGTAGATGATGCATCATTTATGAACCTGTAACGGGTCATTCTAGGAAAGGCAAGGGGACAAAAACGAATGTCAAAAATAAAACATGTCCAGGCATAACCTTGAGTTATACACATATACAACAAGCACACACACACATCATGCAATGCAATTAAACACCAGCGCACAAACACACCTCTTTCATTCATGCAGATTCGATGAAACCCAGCACTGTATTTTGCTCCACAGCTTTCATTCATAATGTACATTCACACATGCTATAAGGTTATAGAGATGGATTTGTGAGATTTACGGTTCACCCCGTTGCCCTTGTGGGCTGCGAGAGACGAGGTCAGGAAGGAGATAGGAGCAGTCATTAGGCAGGGCTTTAATTTCACTACATGCACCATTAATTTCCCATCCACTCTGGCAGCATTAATACCCACAAGACAGATTCACTGGGAGAGCACAGCCAGGGATAGACCTGTAAATTAGGGAAGGAGGAGAAAGGAGGGAGATAGGATGGTGTATGAGTGCAGATGGGGTCAGATGTGGTGTAGTTGAGTAACAGAGCAATATTACATCTGTATGGTATGGCTAAGGCCTCTGGTCCTCCAGAGTTTTGATTATTCCATTAATCTGGAATATATTCTGGAACTGACTAATTCCCAAAATGTTAGTTTAAACAAACAAAATAAAGTCTGCCAACACTAAAGGACAGTTATATTGGTATTTATATTTAAGACATTATTTCTATTTTTTATGAAAATATATATATATATTCGCTGCCAGAAGCTGGTGTCTGGTTATACATCTTGTTTGCAGCAGGTCATGATAGCAAAAGGATGTTCTACTAAGTACTAAGAACGCTTGCCATGAAGGGGTTGAATAATTTTGAGACAGCAGAAGTCATTAAAAGTTGCAATTTCAGTTGAAATTGGGGAAACCACTTGAGCCATTTATTGTGTTGTGATATTTCAATTACTTTTGTTTGAAATGTTCATTGCAAACAGCTGAAAGTGAAAATTTTGCCAATAAACCTGATTTACAATGGGGGTTGAATAATTTCGATTACAACTGTGTGTGTGTGTGTGTATGTGTGTGTGTTTGTGTATTTATATATATATATATATATATATATATATATATATATATATATATATATATATATATATATATCTACATACACACACACAAACACACACACACAGAGTGTATGTGTAGCACAAGCACATAGAATTATAAACGCATATATATCAGTCATATTTACCGTAAAACTTCAAATAGTAGCCCGGGCTTTTATTTACCCAAATCGTCGAACTGCACCGGCTTGTATTTGAGACAGGCGTCTATATGAGACAGGCCTTTATAATTTAGTGTTGAGATGTCGTTCATTGAGTGTATAGGCCTGTCTCTAATCTCTAAAAATCTCCAAATGCTCCACGTGAAACTGCGGTCTTCCGACCTTTTACTATCGCGTCAATTGATTTTGATTAATATGCGCGAGGGAGAGAGAGCAAGACAGCGCTCGTTGTTTGAAGCCGGGAGAGTGCGCGCGCGCGGCCGGAGCGCTCTCTCTCTCTCTCTCTGCTCGTAACGCGCCCTGTCAAGCGCAGCAGTCATTCTATTCTACATCACTCATCGATCAAAAAAAGGCTTTGGAGGGACAAAAATGTGCTTTGGCGGCCGCCAAAAAGCGGGCGATCTGGCGGTTTTAGAGGATTAAATACAACCCGAAACTAAAAAACAGACCCGGCCTCTATTTGAGACCGGCCTTTATTTACCCAAACCTGCAGCCACACCAGGCGTGTAAAAGAGACAGGCGTCTATTTGGGACTCGGCTATTATTTGAAGTTTTACGGGGTATGTAACATTTTTGCAGCTCTGTGTTGCACGCTGATGAAGAATATAAATATATGGATATAAAAATGTCAAAGCCACTATAAAAGTCTCTTTATTGAGTCAAGCTTGTTTAATAAAGAGATAATAAAGAGGTAAGAGATAGTGAGAGCTATCAAGTAGTGGAAGTATTAGGAAATGAGACCAATTAATAATAGCTGTTTCATTACTGAACTCTTCAGGGTGTTGCTAAGCATCAAATGCAGAATTAGGCCGCTACTGGTTAGACAGCCTAATTAGTATGGAGAAACAGGGCATTGGGTGTGGCCTCATAACAAGCATCTAATCCTGTATTTGTAGACACAAACTATCATTAAGGTATAGAAAAAATAAATGCATAAACATGATCATTGGTAGTGAGTGAAATCATATGAAATCCTTCATCCAGAAATAATAAGCAATTAATAACTAAAATGCTACAATTCTAATGCTGACATCTGAAAAACGTGCGTGGAATAAATGTTACAAAATTTTGGACTTTTAAAGGATTTAATGCTTAATTTGACAGCCTTATATAAATGTAAAAGGTAAAAGAAAAGAAAAGTGTTTACACTATATAAGAACACTGCAATATTAAACATGAATACTAGAAATATCCAGGATTAATTCATATGAAAAAAGATAAGGGATATACTGACCTGCAGGAATTATACCAAACACTGTCCTATGAATTTACATTGATGCGCAAAAAACCTACCCCAAGAATATATAAATGTCAGACCATGTGGGCAACTCTATGAAACTAACCTTCTGGACTGTAGCAGTCTCAGTCAGTTATGCAATATAAATGTAACAAACACACATCTGGTACATAAGGACAGGGCCTGGATACAGAGATAAGAGTGGAGGAAAGGAATACAAATTTTGAAGACAAGAAGGAAAGAAGGAAAGAGAGAAAAAAAGAATGGGGGGGGGGCTAAAAGAGAGGGAGATAGAGCCCACAGCTACTGACATACTTGTCCTATAAATAGTCTTAGCTAAAAATGACTGATTAACTTAAACGCAACCTACTGGCCACTGAGAAATGGTGATAAACACGGAGTGACATGATTCATTTATTTTTAAGGGTGCGTGTAATGCAGAGACAAACGCTGGCAGATATGAGGAGGTGGAAGAGGAGCGCTGAAGATTCATTCAGATGTAAAACTGAGATCACTTCACCCAGACACTGGAAAATATAAAGGGCTCTCAGTTCCCTACGGATGAACAGGCAAACGTCAACACATACAATACAGCACAGATGAGACACTAGAACCTGCTTATTTATAGATTAATAATCAACCACACCCACAAAATAGACTACATTCATACGTCAATATACGGTTGTCAGCCCTGCTTTAGAGTGCTAAATACGGTTACATTCACTAGGGGTGTTAGCCTAGAAATCTAGACGCACCCTAGCGGCAGCAAAAATTTTTTTGCAGCCAGGGTGGTCTAGCAACTCTCCGTTGGCTTTCGAGCTGGAAAAAACAAACTCTAGTCAGGCCAATCACATCGTGTATAGAGTTGGCGGGTGGGCTTAACATAATGACGACAGAGTTGCGACGGTTCCCTACTACTTGAAAAAAAAGAATGGCTGCTGCTGCTGGCAAACAGCGGTCTTTCGAATTGGCTTTGGCCAAGACTCTGGAGGACGTGGAGTTAAGCTTTTCTTTGAGAAAAGAACAAAGAACGGCACTTAAGTTATTCTTAAAAAAGGAAGATGTGTTCGTAGTTTTGCCGACCAGATACGGCAAAAGTTTAATCTATCAACTAGCTCCGCTGGTGGGAAAACGCTCTGGTTGGTTGTAGCGCTATCCTATTGCGTG